GGGAGCGGCCGTGGGGACAGTCGCTGAGGGGATGGAGACGACGTTGATGATGAAGAGGATGGAGACGTCGATGATGAGGGATCTGACGGGATGGAGACGACGATGATGATGAAGAGGAGGCAGTTCTTGAGAGTTTGAGATGAGAGATTTTAGAGATTAGGTTAGGGATTTTAGAGGGGGTGGGGTTTTTGAGTTTGGGGGAAATTGTTGGGGAGAAGCGGGTTAAGAAAGAGAACGGAGAGAGAGAGATGTTTTATTTTTAAGAAAAATAGTAAAAACACCCAAACGGTTTAATCCGTTTGGGCTAACATCCCAAACGGTTAAAACTGTTTGGACTTAGTGTTTGGGATCTCCTTCTTGTCCAAACGGTTTTAACCGTTTGGGTTTTGTTATCCCAAACGGTTTAAACCATTTGGGCTATTTTAACTTTCCCAAACGGTTATGAGAACCGTTTGGGCTGTCCTGTTTTGTACTAGTGCATCATCGTTTGATCTTGAATTTATGGTCCTCTAATGGATCAATCCTTCACTTTAAACTAAGTTAAGCTTGTATTTATAGATGGATATATATAGTAGTAGATAGAGAAAAGTATTTACCAATCTTGATTTATCTTATTAATCATGTGCCTAAGTTTAACTAAAATTTTCAAAATATCCTTAAAAACCTAGCCAAATCTAAAGCTTGACATGTGTAGTTTTTAAGGATGTTTTGAAAATTTTACTTCATATTTCATCATAAAATATGTCAAGGTGATTGATTGAAGTCAAAAAGCCCTTTAAAACTAATTACTATATAAACTAGATTTTGAAGGTGATTTATACAAGGAAAAATCCTCTTTTAACCCAAAGTTTTACCCCCACTTATTTAAAAACCCATCCACTTTTCTAAACATCAATAAACCCATTGTACCCATATGACTTATTTTTAAGCCCAATGTCTATTATACCTCTCTATCTTTATACTGTATTTTTCCCAAAATTAAAAAACCCAATATTGCCCTTTCTCTCTTCTTCTCCATTTCTCTCTTCTTCTGATCACCGCTAACAGCAGAGCATCAATGGCGACAATGGCAGAAGAAAATGATGGGCTGCTCTCCCACTTCACCAACCCCCAATTTGGTACCCATTTTCAATTACTCTCTCCTTCTCTCTCTCCTCCATTAATTTCCCCTCTCTTCTTGAGAAATCTCTCTCCTCCATTAATATTTCTCCTCATAGAAGACACTAATCCTACATCAATAGCTTGTTAACATTTTGAAATTTTGGGTTTTCCAATACTATATGTTTTCCAATACTGTATGTTAACTTTTTGAAATTTTGGGTTTTTTTGGCAATAGATTGTTAAAGATTTCTTGTTCTTATAAATTGATGGATTCTTATCAAGCTTATGCTTCAGGAAATGGTATGTGCATAATAATTTTGCTCATATATATCTATGTTTCGGTGACTAGGTTGATGCATAGAAGGTGTTTGATAGAATGACAAAAGGGATATAGTTATTTGGACCACAACGATTAGCGGTTATGCCATATTGCTATTGGTTGAGGAGACAATAGAGGTGTTTGATGAAATATCCAAGAGAAGTTTGGTTTTGTGGACCGCCATGATCTTAGCCCATCGGTATGCCTTCCTACGCCCTCCGGATGCTTTTCACCATTTTCTATTGTCGTCAACACCTAACGTAATGCACAGCTACCCCTCAATCAGAAACCATTCGTCAATGCACACTAACTTTTCAATCAAATACATGAGAGAATCCCTCACTCTTGGCATTCAATCAGATCTTCGCATTGCTGTCACATTGAAACCCAAACGGCAAATCAACTACAGCCTGCAATATGATGTACCAAGTAGTATCCAATGTATCGTGGTGTATGAAATTTTCTATATTATGTATATATAGATGATTTTTGTGTATATTGTATCAAATGCATTATCCAATGTATCATGTTGTATCAAATTTTCCTCAACAAGATGGGTATGACTATAACTTAAAATGTATTAATGTGATTGATTTTCCTAACATATTATTATTTTATTATGTAATCATTGATTGCGGCATTTGTTTGTGCAGGAGCTTAGATTGCGGCATTTTCATGATGGGATACATATATTCCATCTTCAACGACACACCACCATTCATTCATCAGGATGATTGTGAACTTCTACGAGCAAAGATCGCTATTGCCTTTATCTCGGAGAAAGCAGAAAATCTGCTAGAATATGCTTTTACTCGGGAAGTAGACTCTGAATATATATGTCTTGGATGTTCTGAATGTTGAAGTTGTACATGAGCTTAGATCTGTGTACTTGGCAGATTCATTTTGTGTTGATTGGTGTATTCATTTTGTGTTGATTGTGTACTTGGCAGATTCATTTTGTGTTGATTGTGTAGCTTAGATCTGTGCAGGAGCATAAGGTGTTGATTTTTGTAGTGGTGTTGTGTATTTGTTGTTTCATGCTGTAATTATGTTCTTATTGTTAAAATTCTGTGAATGTTGAAGTTGTGTAGGAGCTTAGATTTGTGTACTTGGCAAATTCATTTTGTGTTAGTTGGTGTATTCATTTTGTGTTGATTTGTACTTGGTAGATTCATTTTGTGTTTATTGTGTAGCTTAGCTCTGTGCAGGAGCATAGGTGCTATACTATTGTTTCAAGGGAAAATGGGACCAAAAATTAAATTGATGGATATTAGTTATAGCTTGTACCCAATTGTTTGAAGGGACAATGGTACAAAAATTAAGTTGATGGATATTAGTCCTTCCAAATTGAT